TTTTTTTTTTTTTTTTTTTTTTTTTTTTCAGATAATCAGCATTTATGGAAAGGCACTGAAGGCTACTGAAGAGAGAGTGAAGGAATTGAAGGCTCAGAGGTAGCTGCAAATGGTAACAAGAAACGGCCTGAAGGAACCGGATCCTGTCTACTCTCAAGGAACAAATAAATCCTTCCCCGTGATGGCCAAATGCTTCGTTAATAAGCTTTTGTCTAATTAAAAGGGTATGTTTGTGAGATATAAAAAAGCCTTGGATGTTGAATAAAAGCAGCTTGATATTTTGATCCATTCACTTCACATTCCCCCAATTTAAAACCCATGAATTGGATTTATAATTCTAGGTCTAAAAGAATCAAACATATACCAAACTAATAGAGATTGAAAGCATTAGCGTACCATTTTTGTTGCCCACATAGCATAGCAACAGTTTGTGGCTCGAGTGAGGATGGATGAGCTTAAGAGGTGTTCGGAGGTTGAGAAGGAACTCAATCTCCATAATTTGTAGACTAGGGTCTGATAAGTCGAGATGTCTACAAGAATAATAACAATGATATCAAAGATGGTAAGTACAATGATGTCTATGATAATAATAACAATGAAGTCTAAGCTGATAAGTACAATGATGTCTTTGATGATGGTGGTGGTGAAAGGGACTAGTAGAACACCTAAGCAAGAACTTTTAGATCCCTAGAGACGAATCATGAGAACCGACAACCGAATTAGAGATAAAGAAAGAGAACTTATGGATACCGCGTCATGACCCTAAGTTGAACATAGATGAGTTAAGTAAACCTATCGGGAAACCTTAGAAGAACTTAGAAACTAACTCCTAATATGAACAAGACACAGAAAGAACGAACGAACCAATGACACATAACTTAAGATGGAATTGAGAACTACGAGTAAGCTAATTACTAAATATTTTTATATTCATTCATACTACTTTAATTCTTTTCAAATGACGCTTACACAGAAACAGTCGAGGCAATGATGTGCATGAGTTGCCGAGAAATGCATGTATGTCTTAAAAAAGTATAGTGGGAATTTAGTAATGTAGTTATACTGAATATCAGCTTGTAATAAACAATGACCTTGACTAAAAAAAATTAATGTGCCATAAACAAACTTTTCAACGGTTTAAAAAAGTCAAAATTTGAGAGATGCCTGAAAAGTCAAAATCTTGGGATGCCAGATTTTATTTTGATACATTTCTTTAAATAAAAAAACAATAAAATACAAATTGTTCCATATAATGAAACCTTGCATTTAATAAAAATTACTCCATTTCCCTTTTTTTTTAAATATATATATATATTGATTTCTTATAAAAAAAATATATATTCCCTTAAAACGTAAATTAAAGAGTTTTTTTCTTTTTTTAAGTTTTCCTTTTACACTTGTTTTAAAATTAATAAACCCAAATAAAAATTATTTCCTTAAATTTTAATAAATATTTTTAGAAGATTTTTCTTCCAATATTTTTTTATTATTATTAGGAATAAATCAACCAAAAATGTTTTTATAAATAAAAAAATCGTTCTTTAAAATAAAAAGGTAATTATAATTTTTGCTTAAAAAAGTTATATTTCCTAACGTTATAAAATTGAAACATTTATATACATATATATATATATATATATATATTTACACATACATACATACATATATATATATATACATATACATATAAACTTCCCAATGATAGAGAAATTTGGGGGATTCAAGATGTGGCAATATGATAAATTTATTTGAGGATCTAAAATTCAGACTTTTTTTTTTTTTTTTGAATGAGTTTGTCATTTATAATTATTGTTTATTGTTTTCTTAAAAAATGATGAATAATAAGCAGAGATCATTGAAAAAAAAACAGTATTTAAACTATATTGTTAGCCATAACTCTTAAAGACTACACATGTGAGTGCAAACTAATTTATACTGAAGTATTCATTAACGAATAATTATGCATTAATGCAACAATAAATAATAAATATAAATCTGTATTAAGTAATTAATAAAGGTAAGTGGGGTACGTGTAGTGGTGAATTAAAAAAAAAACATGGACTAAGGGTTGGAGTTATTATCCTTAAAAACTAGGCTCTATCTCAGTAGCTCCAACTATTATAAAGACTTGGAGAAAGGAGAGGGTGTGTGTAACCATTTGAAGTCTGAGAACACATTCTTGAGGAGACCATCCCATAATGGCCATCATCAATCACCTTCTTCGTTCCACTCTCAGGTCTCAGGTAACAAAATCAAATGCCTAATTCATCATCTTCTTCTTACGTATTGTTTATCATTTGATATGATCCTACTTCTTGGTTATATAGTCTGTCGCACATGAATATGTCATCCTAGCTCCCTTCCTGTCCCGTTTACAAAGTACACAGGCTTCACCACACAGAGAGGATTCAGGGTACATTGGGTTAAACTTTAACTAATTATTTGTTCCTTCTATGCACTCTTCTACATGGTTTGAGCATAAATATGGTTTCATCACAGGTTTAAGGGGCATGATATGCTTGCACCTTTCACTACAGGATGGCAGTGCACAAATGAAAATCCACTAGTTATAGAAAGATCAAAGGTAATGTTCATGTGTGTTAAATGAATGGATAATAAGACAGAACATATTGTTTTTTCATTCTACTTTGAATTTGGATTCCATGGTGATACAGGGTTCATATGTATATGACTCTAATGGAAGGAAGTACCTTGATTCTCTTGCTGGTCTATGGTGCACATCCTTAGGTACCACAATCTGCATCAACACGAACTCTTGTTCTGTATATATTATAAGTTTAGTTTCAGTAAGTTGGTAAAGACAATGTTGGAATTTGTAGGGGGAAATGAACCACGACTTGTGGCAGCTGCAACAAAACAACTAAATACCTTGCCGTTTTACCACTCCTATTGGAATCACACTACCAAGCCTTCATTGGTATGCTAGTTAACCAATACTTTGCGCTTTCTTTTAGATAAAAAGAAAGCACTTTTCTTTACTTACACCCTCTTCTTGTTCATATATGGCAGGATCTGGCAAAGGAACTACTTGAAATGTTTACAGCTAGAAAAATGGGGAAAGTCTTTTTCACGAACAGTGGTTCAGAAGCCAATGACACTCAGGTTCTTTCTACTCCAAACTCAAGCATCCAATTTCGATTCCCAATGGAATAAATATAGCAAATAAACAAAGAGAAAACCATTAAACTACCGTGACTAAAACATCGAGGTTTATTAGCTGTGAAAGCCTTCCTTTATAATCTCTGCAACAAATGCAACCAATTAATTCATTTTGTGCTAAAAAAACATGTAATAGGTCAAGCTGGTACGGTACTATAACAATGCACTTGGAAGACCAAAAAAGAAAAAGTTCATTGCTTGCTCAAAGGCGTAAGCTCAAATCACTTTATAATGTTTGATTAGTATCATTTCCTTTGTTCTGTCCAATTAATTTTCTTTTTCTTACACCCTTCTATCCAACAGCTTCCATGGTTCAACATTAATAGCAGCCAGTCTTACTGGGTAAGTTAAATGAAATAAAAATATACCTCATGTCTCATGTTAAAAGAAATAGTTACTCGAATATATTTTTCCACAGTCTTACAGATTTGCATCATAAGTTTGACATTCCAGCTCCATCTGTTCTGCACACTGATTGTCCACACTTCTGGCGTTACCATCTTCCAGGTTCTGATTATGCTTGGGTATACAGGTTGTTCAATTTATTTGATTCTTTTCCAGCCATTAATTTGAGAACATCCATATCTCAGGTGAAACAGAGGAAGAGTTCTCAACCAGATTAGCCAAAAACTTAGAGGATCTTATACTCAAGGAGGGACCAGAGACGGTAAACTTGAACTCTTTTGATTTAGATAATGCCATGATACCATAATTGACCCTTCTCCCGTCTGGTTTTCCACTTCAGATTGCTGCGTTCATCGCTGAACCTGTCATGGGCGCTGGTGGTGCTATTCTTCCACCTACAACTTATTTTGAGAAGGTAAGCTCTTTGAATCATGAAATGCTTAATGTAAAAGTATGGGGCGGTAGGCCTTTCCTTGTTTGGCTGATATCATATAAGACAACAATATTTTTGGATGCTCCTGGGTGTGAGGAATGAATGGTTAAAAAATGAATACAGATAAATCAAGGAACCCAGTTTCACCATAGATCTTAGGTTTCTTTGTTGTTTTTGGAACAAACTAATCCAACCGTTTGTCACGGACATTCCATCTTTGATTTGTCCCCAACTCCTCCAATATTGGCCACTGTTCAAGGCCTTAGATTTTCTTATTGATGGCGCTATGATTATTTCTTATTTATGTTGCAGATCCAAGCTGTACTCAAGAAGTATGATATACTTTTTATTGCTGATGAGGTACTTTGCTAATTGCAATTTATGTCTTCACCATTTGGCCTTGCTTACAAGAATGATTTTTAATATAAATCAGGTGTTGTGTTTTTTTTTTTTTTTTCCTACAGGTAATGTGTGCCTTTGGAAGACTAGGGGCAATGTTTGGATGCGATAAATACAATATTAAACCAGACCTTGTATCTCTTGCAAAGGTGAAGTTCAAACAGATTCAACATTAACAAATATCTTGCTTAGTTTAGGCTTTCCATTGTTTTAATTGAGCCTGTTAGTGTACTGCACTCTGTAGGCACTTTCCTCGGCGTACATTCCCATAGGAGCTGTTCTCGTGAGCCCCGAAATCTCTGATGTCATTCACTCTCAAAGTGACAAGCTAGGTATATTACTTATACAATAAACTAGTTAATCACTGTTAATAATCTTCAAGTACAGTACTTTACCTATTCTTTTTGCTCCATAATATTGCTTCCAGGTTCCTTTTCTCATGGGTTTACTTATTCTGGACACCCCACAGCATGTGCTGTTGCACTTGAAACTCTCAAGATCTACAAGTACGTTCCTACACCTGTGCTTTTGGATTTCTACTTTTAGCCATTCAGAATGACAAAAAAAAAACCTTAAAATGGACAAACACTTCAAACATCCATCATTTTTTGGTACAAGAAAATTGCAAGTTTGTCAAAGTGGATGGCATACTTTCATTTGATTCAATCAGTGTCCTTGTTTGAGGATGATTTGAAGTATAAAGAGAACATAGAAACTCACATGTAGAATGCAATACATATGTTTACTTACCACAATATTGGTAAGTTCATTTCATTTCATTGTAGGGAAAGGAATATTGTGGAGCAAGTAAAACGCATCTCCCCAAGGTTTCAAGTTGGCATAAAAGCTTTCTCTGATAGCCCTATCATTGGAGAGGTAAAGAGAGTTGCTCAAGTAATTAAGTTTAACGTGTGAATCTGAGGCATAATCAGTTCTTCAGCAACTATGATTTTGCAGATAAGGGGGACTGGCTTGGTGTCAGGAACAGATTTTGTAGACAATAAATCACCGAATGATCCATTCCCTCCTGAATGGGGTATGTTTTATGTAATTACCATTGTTAGTGATAGCATCTTAATGGCTTATATCTTGAAACCATCTTGGCTTTGAATGTCTTGAAAACAAAAAGCATCTGTTAATTTGGATCAAATAATCCTAGTCTGAAAAAAGGAATGAACAGTAGCCTATAGATCTTGACCCAAAAATCACAAATCCAGTAATGAGGCAGATCGTGATCTGCCAGGGTCATGCTTTTACTTACCGCTTGTTATGTGCCTGATATAAACAGGAGTTGGAGCATATTTTGTAGCTGAATGTCGGAAAAATGGTTTGATAGTACGTCCTGGAGGGGATACTATAACGATGGCTCCACCATTTATCATCTCCCCTCAAGAAGTTGATGAGGTATCCCTAAAAGCTAATAAGATTACGATTGAATTTCAATTTCACATCTTTTGCTGAAATTTAATCCACTGTTTTTGTTTCCAGTTAATCAGCATTTATGGGAAGGCACTGAAGGCTACTGAAGAGAGAGTGAGGAAATTGAAGGCTCAGAAGTAGCTGCATATGGTTACAACAAACGGCCTGAAGGAACCGGATCCTGTCTACTCTAAAGGAACAAATAAATCCTTCTCCGTGGTGGCCAAATGCTTGATGGTGATGAATAGTTAATCGGCTTTTGTCTAAGATATGAGTGATATGCCTGAAATCTCGTCTAAGATATCAAGCTGTTTCTGAACTTTTAAGTTATAAAAAGCCTTGGATGTTGAATAACAGCAGCTTGATATGGATTCCAAAGTAAAATCGCTCTTCTTCGGAAACATTTCTTGCAATAAAAGTTGTTTTAGCTTGCTTTTGTGCTCTCGAGAACTTGAAGTCATCTTAAAACCTCCTTTCTCATCCTCCGATCCATCCAAATCTCTAAATGATTTCTTCACATTCCCCCGATTTAAAAGCCATGAATTGGATTTATAGTTCTAGGTCTAAAAAAAATCAATCATATACCAAAACAAATATAGATTGAAAGCATTAGCAATCAGTATGGGTGTAAGACGAAAGCTAGGGTTTGAGATGACAGGAAAAGAATGAAGGAAGGAAGAAAGAAAGGTACCTCTCGAAGCCCGGCGATGGGGGCGGCTGCAACATCGCCCAACACTGAGACCCCCATTTGCTGCAATCCATCCCTTTTCCCCTTCCTTCCTTGCTCCCTTCTCAAGAAATCGATGCTTCAGTGATTTCAGACCAGGTTTCTGCGGATTTCCTTTCTGAAAAGGGTTAAGATCTTCACTAAATAACTAACATCTTCTTTTGTTCTTTTAATCAATAATATTTTATTTCCACCCTATCCTATCTCGTCGCGTCCATGTTAAATTGCACAAACCACCCTGAAAAAAAAAAATTATTTTACTCTATGAAATACTATAATTGTTAAAGTTTTTATCTTTAGATTAAATTACAAATTTATCCCTATAATTTTTAAAAATAAATTGATAAAATTATCATAAATATTCTCCACCATAAAAATGTATTAAATTATAAAACAAGATTTTGACTATAAAATCTAAATTAAGAATATAATCAAATTTGGAAGATCAAACCGTTAAAAATAAATAAATAAATTCGAACACATAAATCAGTTAAGGATACGGTTGAAGGGAAAGCTCGATTCTTCCAACTTTGTCGTTAAATTCACTCGTATTATATGAGACGAGGCAGCTCCACCTCCTCCCTCGTCCTTCTCATCTCTTTCTCTGCGGCCATTTGAGCTCCATTCCTCGCTCGCGGAGGCCCTTAACAATGGCCGTCAACCACCTCCTTCGTTTCACTCTCAGGCCTCAGGTAACAAATCAAACGCCCAATTCTTGCTCGATCCAAACTATGTGGAAATCTCAACCACCCATTTTGTTTCCTTGATTTTTCATGGAGCCGCTTGACTTTTCCATCTCTGATAATTAGAAGATCTTCTTCCATTGTTTCAGATTACCGAGTTCCTATCAGAAATCAAGATCAAATGCTTGTTAGAACAATACTTTTGGAAACCAATATAATTATTTTGTTGATTATGAATCCGTGTCAGCTCCCAGATTCTAGGAATTGATACTGTATGAACTGTTGGCAGATATAAATTCTATGAACTTTATAATTTGTTTTTTCTCCTTGTTTAAGCCATGCCAATTAAGAATCTGCTTATTGGTAGTATTTCCTGTCCGATTATTATGTTTCTCTCTTCTTTTGTGGCTGATTAGGCGAGTATGATTATAAAACATACAACCTTTTTTTTTCCCCTCTTTGCAGTTTGGTACCTTAACAAAAGCATTCACTTCTTTTAGAAAGGTATCACGGGAACGTCTCGTCCTCGCTCCTTTCCTGTCCCGCTTACATGGTACAGAGGCATCTGCACAAAAAGAGGATTCGAGGTACAAGGGTTAAACTTTAACTATTTATGCCTTCCATCATTCAAGCATGATTTGTGATAACAATGATTGCACTTTCGTCTACAACAGAACTAAAAGTCAATTGAGTTTCTCATGGATCACAAACATGGTTTAATTACAGGTTCAAGGGGCATGATATGCTTGCACCTTTTACTGCAGGATGGCAGACCACCGATGTTAGTCCACTGATTATAGAAAGATCTGAGGTATCTGTCATGTGTGTTATAAGCATGAACGAGAAGATATGTTCATTCTCTCTTTGGTTCACTCTAATTTGAATTTGAATTCCATGGTGATATAGGGTTCATATGTATATGACATTAATGGAAGGAAGTACCTTGATTCTCTTGCCGGTCTATGGTGCACATCCTTGGGTACCACAATCTGCACTAACACGAACTCTTGTTCTGCATATATTGAAAAGTTTAGTCTCTGTAAGTTAGTAAAGGCAATGCTGGAATTTGTAGGGGGAAATGAACCACGACTTGTGGAAGCTGCAACAAAACAACTAAATGTCTTGCCATTTTACCACTCCTTTTGGAATCGTACTACGAGGCCTTCTTTGGTACGTTATGTAACCTTAACTTCTTTTGCCCTCTTCTATATAAAAAGAACTCACTTTTCATTACTTTCACTCTCTTGTTGCTCATGTATGATAGGAGCTGGCAAAGGAACTGCTTGAAATGTTCACAGCTAGAAAAATGGGGAAAGTCTTTTTTACAAACAGTGGTTCAGAAGCTAATGATACTCAGGTTCTTTCTACTCCAGACAAGAACTTTATATTATGGCTGATACAATATCGATATGAGAATTTCTTCATATATATAACTTCGAAAACAGAGTAATATATTGAGGGGGGCTCAAATTACAAAATCTTTGCAGCAAAGGCAACCAATTAATTCATTTTGAGCACCATTTAATGTGCTTAATTACATGTAATAGGTCAAACTGGTATGGTACTATAACAATGCACTTGGAAGACCAGATAAGAAGAAGTTCATAGCTCGCTCAAAGGCGTAAACTCAAATCACTTGGCTAATGTTCATTCGTATAATTTCCTTTGCTGTTCTGTTCAAGTAATTTTCTTTTCATGGCACCCTTCTATCCAACAGATATCATGGTTCAACATTAATATCAGCCAGTCTTACTGGGTAAGTTAAATGAAAAGAAAATATACCTCATGTCTCTTGTTAAAAGAAATAGTTACTCGAATATATTTTTTCACAGCCTTCCAGCTATGCACCAGAAGTTTGACATTCCTGCTCCATTCGTTCTGCACACTGATTGTCCACATTACTGGCGTTACCATCTTCCAGGTTCTGATCTATGCTTTCAATATACAGTAGTTCAATTTCTTAGATTTTTTTTCAGCCATTAACTTGAAAACATCCTTGTGTCAGGTGAGACAGAGGAAGAGTTCTCAACCAGATTAGCCAAAAACTTGGAAGACCTTATACTCAAGGAGGGACCAGAGACAGTAAACTTGAATACTCTACTTTGAATTAGAATATGACATGAAACTATAATTGACCCTTTCTCCCGTGTCCGGTTTTCCACTTCAGATTGCTGCGTTCATCGCCGAACCTGTCATGGGTGCTGGTGGTGTGATTCCTCCACCAGCTACTTATTTTGAAAAGGTAAGTTGTTTGTATCATGAAATTTTGAAGTATGCAACAGTAAGACTTTCCTTGTTTAGCTTCCTATTCTTTATTTCTTTTTCTAATTATGCTCTCGTGTTTCGTTTTTCTTTTTTATGCTTTTTATATTCAGTTGGCTAGTTGTTTGCTTTAACTTTCCTTCTAGATAAGATGATTACATAATATTGGAGCATAGATGAGATAGTAAAATTACAGATAGCAAAATTAGGATTGTATAAACTAGTACTTTGATTAATAATAAAGAAATAAAATACAAAAAAGAACGAAGAAAGAAAAACTTCAACTGCAAAGATATTTAGGGAGAAGTCTAATTATTATTTCTTAAATTAACCTAAACTATGAGGATTGGCTTACTGACGCAATTACATGAATAAACTCCAACCCTACTATCTAATCGTGAATGCTAAGCCAACGGCTGGTTTTTGAAAATTTAGGTTGTTGGTCCATCATGGTTGTTTTCTCCTTCAATATTATGTCATGATCTTGTTGACGAGATTAGGTGAATTATCCAAAAGCTTTGGAGCAAAAAAATGGTTACGCACCAGGTTTCTTTGTTGTTTCCAGAACAGACTCGTCTTTAGGGTACAACTTGAAATGGTGAAACAGATCCAACTATTTACTGTTTGTCACAGATATCCCATCTGTTCTCACATTCGATGCTAAGCCTTCACGTCTGCGGTGCAAGTCAATTTCTATAATACCTGCAAGGAAAACTAAAAGGCATCTAAATATTTAAAAGTCATCAAAGTCTAGCACTAGAGACGGACCAACATATGAACTAACAGTCTACATATGAATCATGATTCAATTTCTTGCCTTTGTTATTAATGTTCTAATTATTGATGTAAATACTTTCTAATAACAAAAATAAGGAGAACATGAAGGGAAGAATGAAGTATGTCTTATTTATGTTGCAGATCCAACCTGTGCTCAAGAAGTATGATATACTTTTCATTGCCGACGAGGTACTTGCTAATTGCAATTTTTTTCTTCACCATTTTGCATTTTTACAATAATAATTGCAATGTAAACCAGGAACTGTCTTCAACATTTTTTATAGGTAATCTGTGCCTTTGGAAGACTAGGGACAATGTTTGGATGCGATAAATACAATATTAAACCGGACCTTGTATCTCTTGCAAAGGTGAAGTTTGAACAGATTCAACTTTAGTAGATATCTTGTTTAGTCTTGGCTTTTCATTGTTTTTATTGAGCCTGATAGTGGACTGGATTCTGTAGGCACTTTCCTCGGGATACATGGCTATTGGAGCTGTTCTCATGAGCCCTGAAATCTCTGATGTGATTCACTCTCAAAGCAACAAGCTTGGTATATTATTGTACCTAGCTTACCAAGTTGATCACTGTTAATAATCTTCAGTGCAGCTTACCTATTAGTTTTGTTCAATAATATTACTTCCAGGTTCCTTTGCTCATGGATTTACTTATTCTGGACACCCAGTCTCATGTGCAGTCGCAATTGAAACACTCAAAATCTACAAGTATGTTCCCCTACTCCTGTGCTTTCTGAGTTCTATTTCTTTTTTATTGAGAATGACAAAGAAACCTTAAAAGTGGACAAACGTTTCAAAGATCTATAATTTTCTTATACAAGAAAACTGGAAGTTCATCAAGATGGACCTACTTTCTATTTGATTCAATTGGTGTCCTTGTTTGAGGATGAAATAGTGGTTCTAAGTAAAAGAGAATAAATGCACATTTTTATGATACAAACTCACATATAGGATGCAATGCATATATGAAAAATTACCAACTTATTGGTAAGTTCATTTTCTTTTGTTCTAGGGAAAGGAATATAGTGGAGCAAGTAAATAGCATCTCCTCAAGATTTCAAGATGGCCTAAAAGCTTACTCTGATAGCCCTATCGTTGGAGAGGTAAGAGGGTTGCTCACGAAATTAAGTTTGGCTTGCGAATCTGGGGCATCTTCAGTTCTTCAGCACTATTATTTTGCAGATACGGGGGACTGGCTTGATCTTAAGCACAGAGTTTGCAGACAATAAATCACCAAATGATCCGTTCCCTCCTGAATGGGGTATGTTTTATGTAATTCCCATTGTTAGTGATGCCTCTTAATGGGAATTTTGATCAAATTAAATCAAGGCACAGTAGCCTAAATCTTCGATAATTTTTTATCAGCTTAATCCTAAAATCACAACCCCATGAACTAGGTGGATCGTCATCGGGTCATACTTGTGCTTACAGCTTGTTATCTGCCTGATATAAACAGGAGTTGGTGCATATTTTGGAACCGAATGTCAGGAAAATGGTATGCTAGTACGTGTTGCAGGGGATACTATAATGATGTCTCCACCATTTATCATCTCCCCTCGAGAAGTAGATGAGGTATCCTTAAAAGCTAACAATAAGACTATGGTTCAATTTAAACACATCTTCTGCTGGAATTTGATCCACTGTTTTTGTTTCCAGTTAATCAGCATTTATGGGGAGGCACTGAAGGCTACTGAAGAGAGAGTGAAGGAATTGAAGGCTCAAAAGTAGCTGCAAATAGTTACAACGAACAGCCCTGAAGGTACCAGATCCTGACTACTATTAAGGAACAAAGAAATCCCTCTCCATGATGACCAAATGCTTGATTGGTGGCGAAAAGTTCATCAGCTTGCGTATAAGACATGAGTAATATGTCTGCAATCTTAACACTAGACACCCCCCCCCCCCCCCCC